ATTACATTTCAGATGGTGTTTTTCCATACAGCTTCAGATTGTCCATGTAAAGGAGGTGGGATAGCCTGGCAGATGTTTTTGATGCTTGATAGCTGTGGCCTGACTGTTCAGTATTGTTGTTGTTGTTGTTGTTGGTCGTATAGTCAGCCAGATATTTAGACTGGATTTGGCATTTTTATGTACCTATTGAGTCCTTCCCAAGGACCTTGGATAGACAGATGTTTTTGTTTGATGGTGTTAAACGTATCGTCGCAGGATGTAAACTGTTCCAAGTTAAGCTGCCTTTTACTTTAGCGTCTTCATTTTCTATTACATTGCCTGTTTTGTGGTCCCAGCAGTTCTTGCTTGGAAGCAAATAGTATTTCTTGCATATATTCCAATGCACCATTGTTGTTACTTTGTCATGCCGATGTTTGTAGTCAGTCTGTGTGATCTTCTTGTAGCAGCTAACTAGGTGGTCCACTGTTTCTTCGGCTTCTTTGCAGAGGTGGCATTTGCTATCTGTTGCTGTCTTCTCAGTTCTGTCTTTGCAACACCCCCACCAACACTGACAGGGCAAGCTACTGTATATAAACAGAAAGCAAACCCCACTCCCTTCTAGCATGGAATGAGTCGGGTAATGAAACATCTGCAAGAAAAAAACCGAGTTCAGAGAACCCCAAGGACTCCACAGTTCAACCCTGAGTTACATATATTCTCTTCTATTGATATTTAATTCTGTCTCCAACATTTAACTCTGTCCAAAGAAGACATGCAATTAGATGATTTCTACAAATTTGGCAAACAAATAATCATTTTGCATGCGATGTATAAATGAATCAGGCAGTATATGAATCAGTTGCTTCAGCTTTCCTGGATGACATAAATCATTTTAACTGAATAGCTCATTTACTAATTTGTTACTTACTATAAAGATTTTAATAAAATCCTTCAAAAGATTGAGATAGCTTATACTGTAATAAGAAAAGAAAGAGCCAGTTTGGTGTAGAGGTTGAGGTTCTGGACTAGAAACTTGGAGATTATAAGTTCTAGTCCTGCCTTAGGCATGAACACCAGCTAGGTGACTTTAGGCCAGTCATTCTCAGCCCAATTCACCTAAGTGGTTGTTGTGGGGAAAACAAGAGTCGGGAGCATTATGTATGCCACCTTAAACTGTTCAAAATAAAGCAGGATATAAAT